ACGAAATCAAGTGCTCCAGAAGGGGTGCGTTTAAAGATTTGAACACAAAGGACACACAGAAACTTCCAGAAACTTTCAGGGTCACACGCAGCTCGGTCGTTTCACCGCTCCATTCATTCGATTGAATCAAACTGGTAAAATTTTGATGATAAAAGAAGTTGATTTTGATATTAATCAGTAACGAATTTACTAACAAACAAATAATTACTAACAAATTCATCAAAAACTATCTAAATTTTGATCTATTGGGTTGGTGAATTGAAAACTGCCGGCTATTGTCATATGTCACAGTTTGAGCACTTTCTTCAAAGGAAACCCATTTTGGTGTCAATGGAAAAGTTGTAGAGAATCAAAAATAAAGCTTATATCCAAATCTTCAGAACGATTCAAAAACTGGTTTTCAAGAAATGCCAAGAAATGTAAATTTACATTTACAAATTTACAAATTTCACAAAACTTGCATTTTAAGCGAAACTACTAAGTGTATCTTTTTGGAAATTTGGCTATAAGTCTAATTTTTGATTCTCTACAACTTTTCTATTGACACCAAAATGGGTTTCTTTTGAAGAAAGTGCTCAAACTGGGACATTCCTCCATTTTTGAGTCTCCAGTCCTCCATTTTTGAGTCTCACACTTGTCTCAAACACAAACCAAAATCCTACTACGAAAGAGGAATCCGCAAATTGCCTGTAAAATGGGCAGAAGTCGTCAATAATAATGGAAATCATTTGGAATGAATATATGGTTTTATGTTGGATAAATTTTGGTTCAAAGCCCGGCAGTTTTCAATTCACCAACCCAATAATAAAGCTTTTAGATGAGTTCGGCAAAACCTGGGGAATCATCTCGAGCACTGATGAGACTTGGCTCGAGCATAGGTTTCTCTTTTTTAAGGATATTGTAAAGGCGAATAATTTTAGACGTTTCGCTTTGCATACGTTACGAAATTTCGGAATGGGACGAAATTTGATGGAGGGGAGAATTATTGAAGGTTTGTTGCGTTTGAGCGCAATTCTGTAAACACATTTCATCTAGCATAGTGACTACTTGGGTAATGGGTCTACAGAGACTTGCTAGGCTTCAAAAAGATATGCTGTAAGGCAGCGAGAGTAGAGCAGAGCCAGGCTAGGGCCTGGGTTCATAAAGCTGCGAAATTTAGCAAAATTTTTGAGGGTTTTCCTAACAAGGGAACGCCTTGAAGTTACATTTCAGGAGTGAGCTGATTCCGAGGTGCAAACGCAGCCTGGTTAAGCATCCCAAAACTGCTTTCAAATCCTACTTATCAAGCCGTTTTTGAGATATAAGCCTTCAAAGTTTTGGCTAATTTCGCCAAAGCTTGGCCAAGCTAGCCTACTTAAGGTTTTGGCCTTCTGGAAGCCTACTTAAGGCCATCTGGAATAGCGCTGTTTGGAATAGCGCTGTTTGGAATGGCGCTGTCTGGAATGGCGCTGTTTGGAATGGCGCTGTTTGGAATGACGCTGTTTGGAATGGCGCTGTCTGTAATGGCGCTGTCTGGAATAGCGCTGTTTGGAATGGCGCTGTTTGGAATGGCGCTGTTTGGAATGGCGCTGTTTGGAATGGCGCTGTCTACTGTAACTATAAGCTTATGAAAAGTACAAGAATAGCAATAAATAGGAATTGGGGAAATTGAATCTGCTTTTGATTCTGCCAGCTCACTTCCACTGAGCTATCATATTTTAGAACTCGATTATCAACTAAACGAACTCGATCAACGAATGGTTGACGGGAAAGCGGAGATCCTGGTGGCAAAGTTGACGGATTTGATCGTTGGATCGGTGATCAACCGACTTCTCTTTGGATACAGATTTGATCCTGTTTGTCATTAGGAAAACCAGGGCTGACAATGTTTTTTAAAAGACCAAAGCAGCTAAGCAGACCAAAGAAAAGCAAACCAAAACAAAGCAGCAGACCCAAGCTTTTCAGCCCCGTCGTGAGTACTTCTTCAAGATCAAAACCCGTATGGAACGAATGATCAACAACACGACCCCGTTAGATTTCATGATTAGAGACTGGTGGAAATACGTTCCCCTTCTCAGCTGGTTGTTCTGTAGCTTTGAAAAGAATGTTTGATTTCAGGCGTTTGAATACGATTCATGAAGCAATTGATCCAATCATTGAATACGTACGGGAAAACATTAAACGAAGGTGAGTGTCGATCAAGTTAACCAAAAAATGCCTAGTACAGGGTGTCCAAAAAGGATTCTTTTTGAAAAAAGGATTGAGGATTCTTTTTTTGACAGTTTTATTGTTTTATCTTTTTCTTTTTCTTATTTATGACGATTCTTTTGTATTGGCTTTTGAAGGTACTCAAGTGCACTTTTCAGGAAAGAAGAACTCAAAACAGGAGAATACGTTCTTGGGGAAGAGCCGGAAGACTTCATTGATGCCTATTTGATTGAGCAGAAGAAACGAGGAACGGATTTGGGAGAGATGACGTTTGTGCTTTGAACTGCTTTTGCGAAATATGATTTCTTAAAGAAATTCAGTCTACTAGTATCAATTTTACTTCACTTTAGTGCTCAAGGCCTTTTGGTGGATCTCCATGACCTGTGGCTAGCTGGTCAAGAAACAACATCGGTCACTCTACAATGGGCTTTACATTTACTCTTGCGACATCCTACTGTAATGAAAAAATGTAAAGAAGAGGTGATTTTTGATAAATAAACAACAAATGGATTAGTTATTGCGGTTTTAGATCCTCCGAGAAACTAGTGGCAATCGAAATCTTTCCCTAAACGATCGCCAAACCACTCCGTACTTTGTAGCAACTTGTACGGTACGTTAATCAACCATCAATCAACGTAATCTTATCCTAAACTTTTCTAAATATCTTAAATTGATTAAGACTGTTTCAGGAAGTCCAACGCCATGCCTCAATTCTTAACTTTAACTTGTGGAGGACAACAAACGGGCCAAGTTCGATCGATGGGTAAAAACTCGTTCTTTATTAGAATGGAAACTTTTTCAGTTACGATCTCCCTATAGGAACACTGACTACAGCTCAAATTTCTCTGATTCTCAGTGATCCAGAGACTTTCAAGCAAACTCAAGAGGTTGGTGTTTCGGGAGCTTATTCCAAGTCCAAGACGGGAGCTTATTCCAAGTCCAAGACGGGAGCTTATTCCAAGTCCAAGACGGGAGCTTATTCCAAGTCCAAGACGGGAGCTTATTCCAAGTCCAAGACGAAAGCTATGTAGTAACTTATACACTTCTACAAAACTTGACTCTTCCGTAGTTTTCGGGTATTTTGAAAGAATCTGGGGCTTTTGAAAAATCCGGGTCTTTTCAATGGGTCGCCAACTTTGAAGGCATATAACTTTGTCTAGAGAGCATATTTTTGTTAGCTTTTTATATCATCGTAAAGAGGACATTTCAGGCTTTCAAATGATACCAAATAGAGCTTGATTGGAATAATCCAGTCCAAAAAATCAGAGCCAACTCTGAGCAAGTGAGGCCTATCCAACTCGGGTGTCGTGTCGCCTTGTTTGCATGGGAATGAAAAAACCCGATTAAGATCTATTTGGTATCATTTGAAAGCCCAAAATCTTCTCTATACAATGATATAAAAAGTTAACAAAAATATTATCTCTGGACAAATTTATAGGCCTTCAAAGCGCGACGATCCGTTCAAAATATCCAGATTTTTCCAAAATACTCGAACTCTTTCAAAATACCCGGAAACTACGCAAGAGCCCAAATTTCTTGCATTCCTACATTTCCAGTTTGACCCGTCACGTTACCTGAATGAAAATGGAAAATCATTGTTCGAGAAAACAATACCATTTGGGATCGGGAAACGAAGTTGTCCAGGGGAAAGTCTCGCAAAGGCTGAGATTTATTTGGTTGGTGAAAAAAGTTGAAAAATGGTTTAGGTACTACGGAAAATAACTGCGTTTTTCATACTCAACTTCAATCATAAAAGATTTTTCTTATTTAAAACACTAACTAATCAAATCTACCACTTCTTGGTGCATCAGCAATTGTTCCCGTAGCATCGTAGCTTTGAATAGTGTGGAGAATGACACTTCTGTCGACTTTAAGACGCTTATGAATTTCTGGCGCCGAGATTCGCTTGTGCAATTCGATGATCGATGTTTTGGGACTTTGAAAAAATTTTGGCTTCTAGAACACACTGAAAAATCCATCGGGCTGAGATCTGGAGAGCTAGGAGACTCAGAAAAAGAAATGAAGTCCGGAAAATTGTTCGGGAACACTTTTTACTTAGAGCAAACCATAGGTTAATTGGTGAATTTGTTATTTTTCAATGAAAGTCTGAAAAGAAACGAAAAGACTTTCTGAAAATAAGATAAAAACAAAAGGAAGGAATCAAACCCGAGCAGAAAGTTGATAGCTTGTTTCGGAAACAAGAATCTTATCCATTATACCACAAGCTCACATTTCAAGATGGTGGAAGTAGCTTTATATAGGGACTGATTTTCTATTCAGATTCTCGGCAACATTCTCACTCGCTATAACATCACTCCGTCTGAAACAAATCCACCAAAAGGAATCGCTAGCTTGTTATCAGGTCAGTGCTTTAGTAAGGTACAAGGCCCACTCCTGGTACAAGGCCTTGGGCCATAAAATACCTATCGGTTCAGCTGATTGGTAGAGCGTTCGCCGGGTAAGGAAAAGGTCGCGGGTTCGAATCCCGGGGCTGACCATGTTTTGTCTTCTCAACCCAAAAAGTTCGCGTGTCCAACTCTTTGTTGGACACGCGTCTAGTCTTAGTGGAGTCACTAAATTTAACATTTTAGTTGGTCATCGTCCGAATCGTTTCTCAGCCGTTTTCGAAAAAATTGAAATATAATATAAATGAAAATACACTGTAATTTGTCTTCCAAATGTCTTGTAAATAAATTTCTATGAAAAGGTTTATTTGAAACTTTCTCTGAAACAATAATATTCTCTCAAATTGAAACTGAAACTGAAACACAAACTCAAACTCAAACTCAAACCCAAACACAAACTCAAACTCAAACTTCCCAACTTTTATAGTTATCCGTATTCTCCACACAATGCAGTGGCATTTTCGGGAGCTGAATGGAAAAATTGCATATAGATTTACGAATTACATATAGATTTATTACCCGTTTGCATCGATAATTGATAAAGCAATCCCTGTCTTCTTGGCAATAGACGATTTTCACTGGAATATAATTGTTGAAGAGAGCTCAAGGAAAATGTTTTCGAAAATGTGTCGTCTTTTGAAAGTTTTCATAATTTTCTGATACGTCTAGGTTGATTTTGATTGAGGTTGATTGGTCTAGTGAATCCTGCGAAAAACAAAAGCAAAACTAGCAAAACTAGCAAAACTCTAAGTTAGATCGCATTGTTATGCCAGTTTTATGCTGCGCTTTAAGTAACGCAATGGCTTGACAGGATGCTGAACACGACACGATCCTTTGTAGCAAAAATAAAGTCAAGTATAGGGCAAGAATTGATCCCAAGGATTTGGGCATAGTGACGGTCAAAAAGGGAGAAAACTGGCTCAGTCGCTACCCGATCTTTTCCATTTACGGAAAAGAGAAACCTTCTATGCTGGAGCGGTTTGTCAGATGGAGAGGGATTACCGGGCCGCACAAAGAACACTTCGCTAGTCAGGACAAAGGACATCTCGCCTGGCATTTTGGAATTTCTCTTTTGCTTTGTTTATGACATAAAAAGAAGATATTCAGCTGTAATTTGTACCCGGGGGTTTTCGCGGTCGGAGAATCGATTGGCGATATTCATTTTATTGAGAGAATCGTCTACCAATCAGAACTCGGGTTTTATTAGTCATTTCCTGGATACAGAGTGCGGCATAATTATTGCTACACAGTATTTCATTCATAACTCATCAATAGAACTTCTAATTTCTTTATTTCTTTTTTAAAATAAGATTCGGACTTATTTCTACAGTAGATTTTATAGGTTTGCTTAGAAATTGTTTAATGAATTTTCTACGGCGTCTCAAAGTTAGCAATTGCTGATCTCTTGGCCACCAGGTTACATCAGCCAATTTTGCAAACATTTTTTGCGAGCCTAAATAAATTGCTGACTTCTTACAAACTTTATATACGCCCCCCCCCCCCCCCCCCCCCCCCCCCCCCCCCCCCCCCCCCCCCCCCCCCCCCCCCCCCCCCCCCCCCCTTTTCCCCCCCCCCCCATTTTTTCCCCCCCCCCTCCCCGCCCTATATTTGAAGAAACTTCTCGATAACTTCGTACTAATTTTCAAGAAGAGATTCAGGGCTATCGAATGGATACAATAGTTTAGTTCATCTTTGAATATCCACCGAATTGTCAATAAAACAGTAACGACTACGCGACTGTACGACTAAAAAGCCGTTGTCGTGAATGTGTTAATAGTCCAGTATTGTCCAGAACCTTTAGTCCGATAATCCAGTACCTTTATAGACCTTGGATACCCTACAGTACCCTTACAATATTTACAGGATCAGTCTTCTTGAACCCACTTTCGGAAAGTTGCAGGCTACAGATGTCCCCAGTCCATCCTTCATCACATTTACATCCACTCGTTCGAAAAATGTATTTCCCATGGTTTGAGCAGTGATTCCTGTAACTGTATCTCAAATTATAAAGCTGTCACTGAGCCAGAAAGTTCAAGTTCTGTGCTTGAGTCTCAAAATTTCTTTTCTTACAAACTGCGTCTGCTGTATTCGCGCTCATACTCAGCCCGGTAGATCACGGAGCCGCGTCCTGCTAAAATTGATCAATTTTACGGCAAACGGTTGAGTTTGCGGTGTTATAGTAGTTGGGGAGGGGCAGTGTAGTAGTTGGGAAGGGGCAGTGTACATTCATGTGTACACTGCAGTGCACATTCATGAGCCAAAGCGCTTCTATGGTTTTCAATGGTGTAGATTCTTAATTTGGTACTTATTTAAGCTTTAGTGACTGTTTTATATTTCAATAGCTATTTCAAGCAGTTACTGAGGGCCTCTTATGGCGGTCGCGCACCTCTAAACCCATTGGAAATAGAGTCACTCTTAAAGGCTCAGAATTGTTGCTCAAACTAGTATAAAATGGTTTATAAATGCTTTCAAGTTGTTCAGAATGGTTTATAAATGCTTTCAATGGATTCAGTGCAATTAATTACACCAGAAAAAGTTTTAAAAACTAGTGGCAAGTTCGAAAAAACTGGTGTTTACTGCCCTGTTTACTGAAAAACAAACTGCCCCCCACCCAAATGCTATAACACCGAATTTGGTACTTTTTCAGTGATACTTTAGTCATCAAAATTATTTATTGGCCTTAAAAAAAGTTTCCAAGGAATTTAAAGGGGACTAGTTAGTAAGGTCTAGTTAGAAAAGCGCGAACGAATCAACGCCGTTCATTTCAACACCAACGAATCAGCGCCGATTATTTCAGCGCCGCGCAAAAAGGCTTGATTTTCATTTCATTTCATTTCAGCGCTCGTAGGTTTTAGTATCCATAATTCTCGCTTTGTTTTTTCGCGCTTAAAAATGGTATACTATTGGGTTGATGCATAATTATCCGGACTTCTTTTATAAATGATTTTATTTAACAAAAAATAACATAAATAGTTAGAAAAATATGTTTAATTGATTATTCTGGAGCATATTCACCGCCTACATCAATAACTGATTGCCATTTGCTTGGAAGACGATCGATTCCACGAGCGGTTGTCAGGCTTTCGTCTTCTTCAACGGCTTCCAGAAGTGCCTTGTCATCGAATTCTGATGGCCGTCCTCTTCCTGGTTCATCATCAACACTTGTGTTACCGGACTTGAAACGATCGAACCATTCATAAACTGTTGCACGTCCAATTGTTCCTTGACCAAAAAGTTCTTTGAGATCGCGAAACGACTCTGCGGCAGACCATCCCTTTTCGAAGTGGTAGAGCATGATATGGCGAAGATGGATATGATTGTCGACACGCATTTTGTTCACTAAAGAATAACGAATATTTAAAAAAAAGAAATAGACAAAAAGCTTTCAAAACAAAAAAGATACAAGCACGCAAAAAGAAGTCCGGATAATTATGCATCAACCCAATAGTAAAATCACCCATTGAGCATCTAAAAGCTTTTCTGCTTTTTTTCATTTTAAGTAATTGTCGTTGTTTTGTTGATTTTTATTGTTATTATTGCTGAAACACAAATAAATATGAAACTGAAATCATAAAAAGACCACTGAAACCACCAAAACCACGTGTATACAGAAAAGGATTGCGTTGGCGCTGAAATTATCGGTGCTGATTCGTTCGCGCTGTTCTAACTACGGTAAATACTGTAATAGTACCCCACCCGGGTGGGGTGAGTGTCTGTAAACAAAAGAGTGTCTGTTTGTCTGTTTGTCTGTTTATCTGCTTGTCTGTTTGTCTGTTTGTCTGTTTGTCCGTCTGTACGAGTTTTATTAAATCTAAATTCTGTGAGTCAAAACAGGCCAGAATTGACAAATTCAAACATTTTTCATAAAATCATTTTGAAAACTGCCTCAAATGGTCCTTATGGTTCATTTTCTTTTTGGCCGCAGCCTACCGTAAATACTGTAATAGTACCCCACCCCCATAATGACGGGGCGGAGTTTTGCGTCTAGCTTTGAACGAGTTTTTCTCGACACTGGTTTAAGCTAGAATGCGCGCTTAGGTACCAAAAAATAGCCCTGAATTTCAGCTATTTTTTGATACCAAAGACGCACTTTTTGGAAGTACGGGCGCTTTGAAAAAAATGAAATACTAAAAAACTTTTGCGACTACGCGACTGTACGAGGGGTTGGGATACTATTACAGTATTTACGGTAGGTATAAATGGGTTTAAAGCTGAAAGAAAAGTTCTTAAAAGGTCGCCAAGGCAATCAAAAGCAAAATTTTGGCTTCTTATCGTGTTTGACTGGCATTTCGTTTTCTAAAAGACATCTACTATCGAACTTCGATACAACGAACTTCGATACAACGATTTTGAAATTGTAAGATGAATGAAGAGACTGGTGATCTAAAAAGTGCTCAAAATTTCTGCGTAGCTGCCCCAGCCAAATACAATCAGTGGCCGTGCAGGGCAGCTACGAATTTGAGGCACATTTTAGGTTTGTTAGAAGTTCGAAGTTTCCGGTCTCGAACGATTCGTTATATCGAAATTCGACTGTATTTCAAAAAGCTGCCATATTCAAACCATAAAAAAACGCCAGCTTCCATTCGATCAGTCCAATTTTGGTATCATTCGATGAGGAATCACAAGGCTCAGTCAATAATTCGAAAATTGGGCTGATTGAAAACTGGCGGCCTTGGGAAAAACTATAATATTATCAATACATAATATTATCAAATTTTTAGATTTGCACACTTATTTTGGGGGCGGCTACATCGGAAAAGTTGTTCTAAATCGATACGTATGGCCGCTACATCAAATTGAAACGGGGAACTCATTTGGTGCTGTAAAAAGAGAAGATCATTCTCATTTTGCATCTAGATTGGTCATCATTTTGTTCCGCGTTCCATTTTTTCCCGCGCATATGCTTTCCTTACTGGTAAAGAGGCACAGATGTCTTTCAAGTTCTTCAGCGAAAACGAATTCTAGTACCAACGAAAATAAAAATTGGTTTGTTTTTTATCCATATAATTTACAATATAAATTTAGATTTGGAGCTTGCTGTCATTAATGGTCAATTTTGATTCTTTGATTTGTTTCACATTCAGCTATTTGATTCACAGCAATCATGTCAATCGAATTTTTATTTCAATTAATTATTTATCTACTCTAAACTTGCTTTCAGACTGTTAAATACGGAGAAGAAGCCGTTTTTGAAACAACCGTTCGTGGGAATCCAAATCCCGAAGTTTCATGGTAAATTAACGGACACAAGGTGAGTGGAAAGTAGACTTCGGAAAACAAAACTTAACCAAAACCAAAACCACCAAAACCACCAAAACCAAAACCATAACAAAACCAAAACCAAAACCATAACAAAACCAAAAAAAAACCAAAACTAAAACCAAAACCAAAACCAAAACAAACCAAAACTCGCCAATATCTCGCGACTGGGAGGAGCTAGCGAAAATCTGTTTGCAGATTTGAAATCAGCATCCAAAAATCGTGTTTTGGTCCTTTTTTCGGCCGCGAGATTTTGTGGAGTGAGAAAAAGTGAAAGGCAAATTTGCATTTTACAATTTTAAATTTACATGTTAATTTATATGCAAATTGAGTTTTGGTTTTGGTTTTGGTTTTGGTGTTTTGGTTTTGGTTTTGGTTTTGGTTTGTTTTGGTGTTTTGGTTTTGGTTTTGGTTTTGGTTTGTTTTGGTGTTTTGGTTTTGGTTTTGGTGTTTTGGTTTTGTTTGCCGAACTCTAGTTTTTACGGCGTTTATGGTCACCATTCAAATCTTCACTGCTGCGGCTTTGATCTTTTTTCAAAGATGTCTACGAGACCGTTAAGGTTGGGTTTTTTTTGTTCAGTCTATTAACGTTAGTTTAGCGTTTCAAGTTGCTTGATCTTTATTAAAACCTGCCAGCTTTCATTGGATCAGTCCAATTTTGGTATCATTCGATGAGGAATCACAAGGCTCAGTCAATAATTTGAAAATTGGGCTGATTGAAAACTGGCGGATTGAAAACTGGCGATGAAAACTGGCTGATTGAAAACTGGGAAAGCTGATTACGGCAGTTTTTTTGAAATAGGTGTAGATCTGCTCTCCGAAAATCTACCTTTTCTTACTAATTCCTTCAGCATTCAGTTGGGAAAGCTGATTACGGCAGTTTTTTTTGAAATAAGTGTAAATCCCCTCTCCAAAAATCTACCTTTTCTTGCCAATTCCTTCAGCACTTTATTTTAGAAAAAGATATTTAGCCATTTAGCCACGTAGGAACGTAGGAATCCGTTGAGGAACGAGGATTCTTAACCTTTTAGCAAGAAAAGGTCAAGAATTTAGATGTAAAACTGACCTGAATATAAGGCAGCTAAAGTAAACGTAACAAATAAAGACAAGAATATTAAAATTTTCATTTTTAGACAAATGAAATTTTAGACAAATAAAATTCTAGACAAATGAAAATTGGTTCGTATGCAAATTGCAAAGTGATTGTCTGGCCAAAGACGCTCTTATCAGCGCTTTTGTCCGTATCACAATCATTGCAGAAAGGGAAATAAATGGGAATCGCCGTTTTTGTGCCATTTCAATTGTACACAAATCATGACATTTTTCAGAATTACCACTTCAACTTTTGCATTTTGTTGATTTTTCCTTGTAAAGTTTCAAATTTGCTTTCTTTTTCTATTAGATTGTCCAGTTGTCCAGTTTTGAAGAGTCCACCAAACAGTAAGCATTACTTTCTTGCTGTGAAAGTCGAGCTTTGGTGTTGTTATTGGCTCTTCATCAGGTTCTAGCCATTGGAATTATCATATTGAATCCATTATCCCTTATTGAATTCTCATCTGAATCCATTTTTCATCGCAAGTAAAGGTTTCCTCGTAAAACCCAGTATTTTTTTGACAAACGAAGTAGAATACCATAGTGACACGAGTAGCTTTATTGGCATCACTGAGAAGAAGAAGTACCCATTTCCCTTGTCAGCTTGCTTTCCCAAATCTCAATTGGGGAAAGAAGAGAGCAAGTAAATGCTCGAAAATTGTTTGAGGGCTTATTTCAAATATTTCTGCAAGTTCACGTGTAGTTTGTCGAGGATCAATTTCGATCGCCTGTTTAAGTACTGCATTATCGATCGTAGGTGGCACGTAGGTGGCACGTAGGTGGCTCGTAGGTGGCACGTAGGTAGCTCGTAGGTGGCTCATCACCCAAAAATTCATTTCCTTCTCGAAATCGTTGAAACCATCACCGCCGACACTGGCTTTCCGAAATAGTATCTTCCAAAATACTTTCCAAAGGTCTCGATGAGATTCAGCGATATTTTTGGGGGTAGTCAAAACAGCGCCATCATAGAAAACGTTCAAAACAGCGCCGTCAAATTTCTCAAAATCCAAAAAACCAAGCCGGTTCAAGTTTTATATCAAAAAATTCCTTGCGTTCTTGGCTACATGATGGGTGAAACAGTTTTTTAAAAAAGTTAATATTTCATAGATAAAAAGAGCACGCAAAATGTGTATCGAGTGATACTCAGTTGGTTAACTGAATATCTTTAGCTCTCTTGTAAAGCTCTAAGGAATGCTGTTCAAGTTGTTCAAGAGCAGGCGTGCATTGACATTTTTCAGAATTACCACTTCAACTTTTGCATTTTGTTGATTTTTCCTTGTAAAGTTTCAAATTTGCTTTCTTTTTTCGATTTTCTATATTGAATGAAACATTTTATTACAGGCACAGCTTTCTTTTAACAAAACATTTAAATATATCACAGATTTGTCAAAGTTTTCATTGGAGTATCGACGTTGAGATTCACAAACCTCTATTTAAGTACTAGGAAATGGGTGCTAGTTATTTTGGAATGAAGTAAATGAAGTAAATGAAGTAGGTGATAGTGAAATGGGTAACAAAAAAAGAAAGAATATCTAAGATTGGGATCTGAGATCTTCTAGGCTAGGCTGGTTATCGGACATTTGATACGAGCCCCACCCCTTTTGCCATTGGCAATTTAACTTTGAGCTCAAATATCTTGGCGTTTAGCTGTTCAATTGAAATGGTTTTTATACCAATCGATAGAGAAAGACTTGGCGTATCTAATGATACAAAGAATGCTTAAATTGAACAGCTCAACACCAAGATATTTGAGTTCAAAGTTGGATTGCCAATGGCAAAAGGGACGGGGCGCGTATTAAATCGGCTAGGCTGGCCAGACTTGGTTTTAGGTGACTTTTGTAGGCTAGTCCAGGGCAGAACCTGGCTTCTAGGTTGATCCTAGCCTGGCCTGGCCCAGAGAAATTGTCCTTAAAACAACTTCCAACAGTCCACGTTCATAGGTGTTGAAAGTACTTTTAGCCATAACTTTTTGATGTCATT